ACAACACTTTATGTTTGCTAAGACTTTGGGCGACTTGGAAGTTTGGGCGAGAATAGAGTAACAGCTCTGGGCGATTGCATGGCACTTCATTCACTTAGATTCTGGGCGACTTGCAAACTTGGGCGATGGCGTTACCGCGTTCTTGGGCTTTCATCTTGAATTGTTTGATTGGGCTTCGTTCTTTGGGCTATCTGATTTGGAAATCCTCCAATTGGGCTTCATTCCTTGGGTCATTCTATTTGGGCTGAATTTTTATGTGTCAACAGGTTTAATAATATTTTTTCTCTGCTGTCTGCACGCATCATGCATCCTACCTATTAAAGATTGAGTGATATTTGATCTGTATAACCTTTACCTATTAAAAATGTTCGTTGGTAATCTCTTCTTATTTATGCTGTGAAAATTGTACTCAATAAAGAAATATTGAATCGGTTTATCATCCACAAGCATAGTATACTACCACACGATATAATATCGAGTGATATTAATCGGTCAAATTAAGTTTATGCAGTAACTATTATAATACACACACGTGATTCAGTTGCATGTTTTTGAGAAATATATATAAACGGCACTTGTACAACCCTTGATCTTTTACTTTTTCCGGATCTATACCTAGCGCAGGCTTTAAACACTGGATATTTGATTCAATTGCACGTTTTTGAGATACTATATAATAAGCATACGTTTGTGTATTGCACACATCGTGAATTCTATCCGTTCTTCCTCCCTTTTGACTATGATTTACCTTTGGTTGAAGAGCTCGCCTTTTTTGTTTTCATTTTTCTCTTGTAGATTGAGATATTATTAGGGAAAACACAGAACTTTGATGAATTGATGGCCGCGGAAGCAGAGGAAAGAGAATATGGAGGCGAAGAACAGAATTGACATGGATACTCCTAAAGTCCAAGGCCCGTCACCTTTTATCTGTCTGAATAGAGTACTAGTGTCTAGTAGTTATGCAAAGAACTTATTGGATTTGTTTTACTTTCGATGGTGAATGGGGTTTATTATGTCCGTGCAGTGCTGATGTTTCTAGATCGGTTCAGTAAAGAACAATCCTTCTAGACCATAATTCTTCTACTTTGGGCAAGTTCATATGTTTACACCATTGCTTGATTATGAAGTGCATCTTGGAATCGTGTTTTCTAACTGCAAAAACTTAGGAAAGGTAGTTTTGTAGGCTGAAGCATTCTGATATGGTCCTGGTCCATATAGAAGTGGAATTATTCTCCTCAACATTTGAAAAAGCTGAAACAAAAAAAGAACGAAAATGAAGAAGGCAACAAGGAAAAAACTATGGGGATGCCCTCTGATCATTTTCGTGCTTCTGCAATGGCACCAGAAATTACATTCAATGAAATGGTGGAACATGCATTTTATCATTTTATGTTGGCACTTAAAACGTATGATCTATTATATGAAGGCGTAGAAATTGAAATTTAGTTGAAAACTGTCTTGGGGATGTGTCTTGTCCAAGCGGGACATGAGAATTTAAGGATGATAAACAACACAGTGGACAGATAATTCTTTTAATCTATTTAAGTGTTATTCAATTTAATATAATGAGACATTTATGACAATTTAACGTACCAAACAATTAATGTCAGAATTTCATAAACTATAATAGGTGGAACATAATTTCAGTGCCCAATGAACCCGATACCTACGTGTAAAGTAGGGTGATTCCGGCCTAAACTTGAAACCACAAACATGAATATACTAAAGAACAATGAAGAGTGAAAACATCACGATTGGCATCCTAGTCTTATGTAGTAAAACAGCTAAGCCACCCGTACAGATTATTTGTACAGGTGATGACATTCATCTGTTTAATTTTTAAAATGATTTTGGAAAAAGCTCCCTGCACAGGGATTGTCACATGGGGGTGAACCCCACGTGGACCAATGGGTGGGGTCCAGCCCATGTGTGCGCACCTGTACAGGCCCTATGGAAAGGGGTCTGTGTAGGTAGCACAGCTCAATGATTTAAGCCTAAATACAGGCTATTTTTCACATAACTCATACAGGATGCTCTTCTTGTCCGCTCGTTACTCTCTTTTTTTCTTCTTCCGATGAGAATTAGCCAAGCATTGTTCTTGTAAGTGATGTGTGAAATTTTTTTTTACATGTAGCAGGCTTGTTTTGAAATTCAAATCAACAGACATGCATTCATTTGCCCAATCTACCAATACAGATTATCTATACAAGTNATGTAGCAGGCTTGTTTTGAAATTCAAATCAACAGACATGCATTCATTTGCCCAATCTACCAATACAGATTATCTATACAAGTAGAATAATTCCAAGACAAACTCTTCCTGCAGCCCTGAAAGTACACTATGTAGGCAAATTCATTCCAACGCTAAATGGAAACCTTAAAACATTGATTTACACATTCACAGAATCTTAAACTGAACTAGGTTAAGCATAGAAAGGATCATGATAACAGTATAGATTAAGCCTAGAAAGGAACGTGCGCCTTTACCTCGTCTTGTATAATTCTTTCACATAAAATTTGGTCATTCTTTAACACAGTTAAAATAAATCAAAATCGCTTGAAAAGGTTGTAATAAGACATCAGTTTTCTCACCTCAAAATCCAAATCTCAAAAGGTCAAAATTTCAAGCACGAAAATGATGCAACATCAGACAATTTGTTATCCTTAAATCTAAGTTTCTTTTGTAAAACAACTCTCTATGCATTATCTTCGTTCTCAATCAAAATCCTCTTGCATGCCTCGTAACACATGAAAGATATCCCAGCAGCAGGCACCAACTTCATACAGCTCGGACCAAGCCCTTTGTAAAGACCCTGCATCCCTTCTTGTTCGAGTATGCTGGCAAGAGCATGAAGTACATTCTTGTACACTTGTCGCCCACTAAGCGCTCCAACCTGCATGTGCTTACGAGCCACCTCAAGTGGGAATGTAGCACTACTAGATATAGCACCGGCCGCAGAACCAATCAAGAGTGTTTCAATGTTGCCAATCTTCTCTTGTTTGAAAATTTTCCGGTATGCCTTTCTAAGAGTGTCATACGCAAAGTAATTGGTGGCAGCATACGGAATTACTCCAATAAGACTTGGAGTTAGACCTCGATAAAGCTCTCCAGGCCCACCTTCACGCAGTATTTTTATAAATGCATCGAGCAAACCATTGTAAACTCCTCCCTGTATATACAAGAACTCTAATAAGGATGTAGATAGAAACGAAAAGAAAAGTTAGAAAAGTGCATTTTGTCTGGCTTAAAAGTAATTCGAACCTACTTTTAAGTTGGTTATTTTTACCAAACATGAATTTTGACATTACATTTTAATAATAAAACTTAAAATTCCCGAAAGTTAAGCCTTTGGTTACCTGAATAGTCAATCGAGTCTTGAGTAACTCGAGGGGATACGTCACTAAAGTTGAGCTAACTCCAGCACATGCTCCCGCGATCAATGACGGAGGGATACGCAATTTGGGTTGTTCACCAAGTTTCGGTGACAAATTTTTATTGACAGTATCGTAAACAAATAACTGCAAAGTACTAGCAGCTTTCAGGAACATGTAAAAAGCATAATGCAAGATTAAAAAATTAACCAAAAATTGTTTGAAGCTAGTGTGTGAGTAAAAAAATAAGCAAGACATATGATAGGACAGTGAATCTGTAAATGTGCACAAATTTGATAAAACTCAACAGCCACAGATAAATTATAGTATTAGATATTTAAGTTACAGATTTAATTATAACTTTAAAAAACTAAATCGAATACTAACACAAATAATGCATCGCTTTATGCGCAGAAAAAGAATTTAGAGGGCGAGCAAAGGGAGAGGGAAAGAAAATAATTGACTTTCTTTGCAATAATGAACAGAACATTCTTGTCAATATACAGGAGGACCACTCCATCCATAATCCTTGAATCACATGGTTCAGGGGAAGTAGAATTAGCTAATTTGAAGAATTTACCATAAGAAAAAGTCAGACACTGGGAAGATCACAACAACAACAAATTAAGCATTATTCCCAACAAATTATGGGCCGCCACTTGAGTTCCTATTCAGTATTCACGATGAGTTCAGCTAATATTTTGTTCTGAAAAATGTACAAGATTTTTGACGTAATTTTTAAAACATTGTTCCCTATAATAAAATTATTATTCTTTTTTTTTTTTTTTTTGACAAAAGCCACAGAAATTGTTGAGACCTTGATGCATATGGGCAATACGATATTCTTGACTGAATAACAGAAAACAATATACACCATTTCTGAAAAATGGTTCGTATAAGCAAGCATCATTAGATACATTTTCAAAAGACTGAAGATGAGGTGGCGTATTAGACGGGCTAAAATAAACCAATGTTATCATGAATGCAAAATGGAACTGACCCACAATCAGAAATAATGGAGATGCTAGAAAACCTTTTGGAGTTCTTTGGTAGACAATATTGGATGGTTCAGTTGACAAGATTGAACTTATTTTCTTCTTTAATACTGCCGAGTGCCATTGAGTCCACATTACCAAACTAAACACGCTATTCGAGTCTTCTACGTGGAGCAATACTTGGGCATAAGATAACATTCACATTAACAAACACAAAGCAGCAATATGTGACCCTCAAGCTCAATTACGTAGTTTGTAAAAGTTATGCACGTTTCGGTATATTAGGGATCCATAACCAGCTATTCTTAAACCGCCCAAATCAAACAAACATAAGCCAATACATCCAAAAAACATGGGTAGCAGATAATAACGAAATAGATATAAAACGAGAGTCAAAAATTAACCAACAAAGAATATCATATAGGCAAAACCCCATTCAAGAAAGACAGAAAACAATTGAAAACTCAGGCTAAATAACATAATAATGTCATTTGCGTTGTTCTTTTTTCTTGTACTTACCTCTATGGCTTTGCTTGGTGCAACCCGAATCACATTAACAAAATTGCCCCTAAATAATCCTGGCCATCCATCGGTCTTCATAATACTATCGAAGACCTCCATAGTCGAATGCCCACTACTCCCAACCATCAAATGAGTCCTTATTGTCTCCAATGGTGCCACAGCAGTCCTTGAAACCGCCCCAGCAATCGCACCACTAATCAATCTCCTCAATGAAGGATTTTCAATCTTAACCTTAAGCCTAAGTCCATTTTTCTTCTTCTTTACCACCCCATTTTCCTCCTGCTCACCCAAAATCTTAAACCTCTCAGGTGATGATACATACTTCAGAAACAAATCGACACACGGAAACTTAAAACTGCCATTTTCTTTGTTGTCCATTCGACCTACAGAGGCAAATAACCCACCGCCCGGATAAAAGTCGAAATCTTGGGGACTCAATTGGAGTCTCAACTGGGAATTCGACAATAACCCATTGTTTTTACACTCCAAAGATTGCATTTTTCCTCTCTTACCCATAATTCGAAATTCAAAACAGAAAAGAAATACCTTGCAAAACAATAGCCCCCCCTTTATAAGCTCAGAACATACCCAACTCTACAGATTCATGTTTCCAGGCAATTTGAGAATAGTGAAGGAGCAAAAGATTCGATTTTGAACAAATGGGAGTATAAAATATCCATTGTTGACAACTTAATAGGTATAGAAAAGAAAGATTCAATTTATTTTTTCTAATTAGAAACGGCAATAAAGATAATTAATCGGACAGTATATATGGATGCGGATGTATTGCTACGACTTGAGTGTGTGGAGAATCAGGGAAACAGAGGGGAGGCCGTGGGGGTGGAAGGTGGCGGAAGAATCAAGAGAGGGTTCTTTCTTAGGGGAAGAACAAGCAAGCCAGCGGCAGGATTCTGTTCCTCTCCTGTTCAACCTCAAACACTGATGCTAAATAAGTATAATATACGTGTGCGTAGTGCGTGAAACTGACATAGATACATTGATAACTTTTAGGGTTTTTTGCATAAATGGTCCCTGACCTATGACATCTGTGTGAAATCGCTTGAAGTGGAAATAGTGATGACAATTTACCGCGCTCCGCCTCGTCTCGAATGGGGCAAAAAAATCCGTCCCTTGATTTTATTTTATTTTTATTTTTTATTTTTTTATAAAGGTTAGGGTTCAGTGATGGAGAGTTTTAATGTTTATTTACTTATTCATTTATTTATAAAAATGATTAGTAGTTAAGATGCAGTTTGAAGAGTCTTAGAAATAATTTTCTTTGGGTTTGGTGTTAATCGACAAATTGTGACATTGATCTTGCAAATATTATGTATTTATTGAAATTTGATATTCAATACATAATACTGAAAATGATGCTACGAGAAGGTAGGAAATCTATTTTCATTCATAATTACTAAGATTGTCAAGTTCAATGTACTTGACATCTCAATCTCTTACAGCTAGCCAAAAGGCCCAAAATGGGATTGCATCTTCGAACTAAGTCTGTTCATTTTATTTTATTTTTTCAATTTTCATTTTCGTAATGATTCCTAGTGAAGAAATTTTAAAAAATGAATCGAATAGATTTTCCACAACGGACTAAATGGTTTGATACCAATTTTGTTTGGAATCTCTGTCTCATCTTTTCTTTGAAGTGAAGTGCAGGGTCAAACTTTAGTTCTTTGCCCAAATAAATAAATAAATAAACGGGGCAAGCCCACTGCCCCACCCCGCCCTGCGCCCTTCGACCATCACTAAGTGGAAATGAATAATTAGGGGTGTCAAGCACGAGCTCGGTTCGGGCTTGCCACGAGCTGAGCTCGTGCTCATTTTGAAACGAACCGAGCTCGGCTCAGTCCACGAGCTCGTGGGTTGAGTCGAGCCCGACTCGAGAGCACACGTCTTTTTTTTTTTTTGAAACAAATAGGTAAATTGGAAAATAAAAAAGTAATTTTAATTTTTAAATCGTGAATTTTTTATATAAAAAACTAGGTAAAAAATTTAAACCCTCCTCCTTTATCCGGGCTTGAGACCGGCTACTTAAATTTAGAGTAGGCGGAGTTAAAAATTATGTTGTTTATTTGTTTGTTCGTGTAAATTTTTTTAAAGAAAATTTAAAACAGTATTAAAATTTATTTTTTCAAGCAACGCTGCACGTCCCCTTACATATAATCTTCGAAGTAAATCACTTCTAAAAATTGAAAGGGTAATCGAATGCCCTTTCAATTGTTAGAAGTCTTCACTTCGAAAATTATATAGAAGTCTTTCACTTCGAAAATTATATATAATCTTCGAAATGAAAAATTTCTGACAATTGAAAGGGCAATCGAATCAATTTTCAGAAGGAATTTATTTCGAAAATTATATGCAAAAGTACGCACAGCGTTGTTCGAGAAAAGAATTTAAAATGTAGACATATAGTAATAATAGTACTAAGTACTAACAAAAATTTAACTAAATTGGTGAAAAGAAATTTTTTTCTTTTTTTTTTTAAACGTAAAAGAGATAGAAAAAAATAATAATGAAATCTTTATTTTTTTTTATTTTTCTTTTTAAAATAGATAAAATATAAACTCTCTTCCTTTATTCGGGTTTGGAACCGACTACTTAAATTTTCAGTAAGCGGAGTTAAAAATTGTACACGATCAATTTATTGTAGCGTGTACAATTTTTTAAAGAAAATTAAAAGTAAAGATAAGAAGAGAAAAGAAAAGTTTCATCAATATAATTAAATCAAATATCACTTACTTGACGACATGCAATTTCGACATATTTATCTTGTTATCGAAAATGAGCGTCCTGCCAATCCTTGACGCACATTAACGCTTCTAAAATATCTTCTTTCAATCGCCTCCTGGCTTAGCTCAAAACTCTTTTACCTGCACTAAAAGCGGATTTCGAAGCAACATTGCTAATCGGAGGTGTCAGCGGATCTTTTGCAATCGCAGATATAACTTGCCAACGTCGTTCATACCTTCACCAGAATTCAATTACTTCGTCTGAATTTTTTTTTAATTGTTTTATCTGTTGGCATATTCTGGTTGAAATAACCAATTAATTCAACAGGCAATGCATTATGACTTGAACCCGTAGATGTTTGATGAGAATGAGATACAGATGTAGACGACATGACAGTGGCAGTAGATGAACACATTGCAGATGAATCATATCTATACGAATTAATGCCTTGAAATAAATTAAATATTTTCGCATCTTCTTCTTCAATTTCAGCGGAAGGAGTAGGTGCAGATGGTACCCGACTAATATTCGTACCCATTCGGTTCACATGTAATTCATATATTTCACATAATGTTTGCTCTAAATTTCTATATGTGATAGGTGTATCAAATGTTAAGGCGTTTGAAATTTGATCAATTATATATTTAGTTCCCGATAAATTATATCGGGGATCCATCACGCATGCTAAAAGAAATAACATAGGCAAGTCTTCCCAATATTTTCTAAATATTAATTCCATAACAATTATAATTTCACTAAAATCAGTGTCATTTTTGTATTTATGAAATGTTATTGCAATTATATAAAAACGTTCAAGCACCATACAGCTGGTGGGATAGTAAACGCCCGATAAAATCTAAGTGGTTTTATAAAAAGATGTCAAAATTTTTTTAACTTTCAAAGCTATCTACCAATCACGTTCAATCAACATACTCTCGTCATCACTTTTAACATGTCTATTATCAGTTATTAAATGTTCAAAACCTTCACATGACTTTAATAACAAGTAAGCAGAGTTCCACCTATGACCTACGTCGCTAACAAATGTTTTAGTATTTTACACTCCTATTTCAGCACAATAACTCTCAAATGCTTGTTTTCTACTTGGGGAGATTGTGATATATATTAGTGCGTTCCTAATATTTTGAAATTCATCCTTTATATGTTTTAAATCATCTTGGACAATTAAATTCAAAATATGACATACACAACGAATATGAAACAAATATCCATCAAAATCAGGTTGCAGTACCATATGCAATTTATTGGCAACTACTTTATTAACACTAAAATTAGCGAAAGTAAATGAACGAATTTTACTTTCGCAATGATATTCTCTAATAATACTAATAATAGCATTAAATATATTATTAGCGTTGTGAGGAAAATCAATAATTCTAAAAGCAATAATTTTTTTATGCATGCACCAAAGTGAGTCTATATAATGTGCTGTTACAGCTATATATGCTCTTTTATTAATCCATTCTCATATATCCGAAGTTAAAGATATGACACCCTCATATTTTTGCAAATTCATAATTAATTATTGTTTTGTTTCAGTAAAATGTTGTATTGTATCGGAACGAAGAGTGTTTCGACTTATCTCAACGTACTTTGGCTGCAGATATTCTTTCACATACGAGACGTAGTATTGGTTGTCAATTAATGTCAAAGACAACTCAGCACCAGCAACAAGTTTCACCATTCCGGTTCGACTTCTCTCCTTCGAATACACTCACGTGGATAGGGGTGCAGCAGAACCACCGGCGTCCGGACTATTAAATTGCAATTGTGTTTGACAACCCGTAATAAGTCCGTGTTTGGCCGCACATACTATGTAATGACGGTTGAGATGGGTGGTATCAATTCCTCTTTGCTATGCCAATCTTTGTTGGCAGTATTTACATACTGCTTTGGATTCTGGGATTCCATTGATGGTTTTTCCCTTTAAAATCAATTTAAAATGATCTCAACATTTTGCTTATTTTTCCCCCTTTCGCTTTCCCCTCGCATCAGGAATGTTTAATTCAGTCTCTTCTTCCTAATCGTGTTCCGCTTCGAGAACGTTAACATCATCCAAATTAATTGGATAATTTGGATTGCCTCTTACATGATGATGAAAATTCAAATTTGGAACATTTTTAGGTAGGGGTACGTCATTTAGACCTTCAAATTGATTTCAAAATTGACTTTGCGATGTCATAGGCGATTCGTTTCCTCTCACACCGAACAAGTTTTTGACAAATGTGCGTGAATCCATTTGTTTAATTGTAATAAGTAATAACTAGTAAAACAATAATTGTATAAATGTAGTGAGAAATGAAAATTGAATGAAATTTCAATAAATATAGTGAGAACTGAGAAATGGGAATTGGATATTGTATAAATTGTATATAAAAATTGTACAACTATTAACACAACATAAGAGAGTTGAGAGAAAGAGAAAGGGAATTGAGAGTTGAGAGTGAATTGTAGAAAATTTTGTGGTTAAATGCCACTATTTATAGAAGAAGAAGAGGAAAAAAAATTAAAGGACCGAAATTTAAAATAAATAAATAAATTTTCAGTGACCGAAACGGTCACTGACAAAAGTCAATGACCGTAACAGTCACTTTTTAAAAAAAAATGGTCGTTTCAATCACTTTATAAACGAGCCCATGAGCTGGGCTCGTGGGCTTGCCTGTAGCGGCTCGTTTAATTTGCGAGCCGAGCGGGCTCGACTCACCCACCGAACCGGCCCGCTCGGCTCGCACTTGGGCTCGTGTTTTTACGAGTCTGAGCCGCCCACGAGCTCCGTTTTCCCGAGCCGACGAGCCGCTCGATCCATTTGCCACCCTTATGAATAATGTTATCTATTACTACTTACGAGTACTATTACAGTATCAATTTATGTGACATTACATGATAACTTTAATTAAAAATGAAATAATGCGATCA